TTCTCTTGTAATTGATTGGTTGTTGCCTCTAATTCTTGTAATCGTATCTATCTTTCAGACCTTCGGGTCTTCTACGACAGTTTGCCCTTGCTGAGATATCGGGTAATTGCATCTAATCTACTTCTACCTAAAATAATCTATTTACATATCTACATTTATCTCCTCTAAACTAATTCTGCCTTTAATCAATGGCGTAAATTATACTAAATCTTAAATTTATAATACGTAGCACAATATAATAAATTATATAAATATATCAAATTCTATCACCCCTCTCCCCTTAATGAAGCCTAGACCCATATTTTCATTGAAAAATTTACTTGTACTCATCCTTTAGCTATTGATCCCATCTTCTTTTCAGCCATGTCTATACTAAATTTATATCTAAAAATCCTATTCTAAAATATATATATCAAAACCTATCTTTTTAAAAAAATTATCATTGTGTATTTATTTCCTCATGTACTCTTTGACACTCAGTCTTTAAAAAAAACTGCTGAAATATATAAATCTCTTTTCATACATACGTTGTTGAGAAATCAATGACCTATCATAAAAGTTTTCATACTTACGTTTATGAACAACCTCTTAATTCTAATCACTATGGTTTTCACCCCACGTCTTTGAAGAACTTATGAAATCTAATCATTATAATTTTTCGCACAACCGTTGTTGAAAACTGATATGTATATTTCTAAAGCATGTTTTTCCTTTTGTATTATTAGAATAATATTGTATGATTCTTCTTAAATCTTATTCATGATTCAAAATAAAAATCTGATCTCAAATTGAGCTCGATTGCGGCATAAATTTTCTAATGACGAAAAGCCGATTCTCTCTATGAAGATTTTTTTGGTTAATCTACAACCTAATATACTAATTCACATTAATCCTTGAGGCTGTTTTATCTCTCGCAGCCCTTAAAATAAAAGTTAAACGTAAATCTTCAATAAGAATTTAATCAACTATTTCCTAACAATAAAGTTATATTCTAATCTTATTCACCGAATTTTTTAATTATTATATCTCAGCAACCTATTAGTTAAATATTAACTTTCGCAATTTATGTTTCTATTTCTTTGTCAAAGTTATTTCTAGTGATCACTTGATAATAATTCTAAAATCTAAAATATTATAGTCTTTATTAGTTTCAAAATTCCATTGGTTTTTAGTTTACCAGTAACTTCTAAATATAAAATTCCTAATTATCACCTTTAAATAACTAAACACAATTATCTCTATCTACTATGAAAGTTACCTTTTAATTTTAGATTTTATATTCCTACATAAACATAATCTTAACAACATAATTTTTCCTTTTCATCTTTATTTACATATTTTTCTTACGTTCTTCTGGAATTTTTTTTTTTTGTATTAGAATACAGTTTGACACATCTCCTTGTTGTCCCACCGGTCACAGACTGAAGGTTGTAAAGGGTCGGTCTCCTCCGCTCTCCAACACCATTGTCACAACGACAAGATTTGTCATTGTGCAACAAAACCTAAATATAAAAATAGAAAACAAATATATATATATAAAAGGAAATTAATAATAATTAGGAATTACGAAATCATAAAATCAACTTTAATTCTTTATTCAAAATTATAATAGTAAAAATCATAAAAAAATAAAATAAAATAAAATATAATTAAAAAAGTTAATAATTTAAAAAAAACAAAGATTTTTTGTATCATAAAAATTTGCCTTTTTATACTCTTTTCAATCTTCTTATAACTAATCATTTCAAATATAATCTTTTTATCACGCGTTATAACAATAAATCCACAAAAATTCTTTATGCAAATTACATATAAAGTACAACAAAATCCAAAAGAAATCTTTATGCAAATTAATTCTACAACAGTATAATTTGGAGAACTGGGTGAAAATAAAATAAACATAGATATAAAACATAAGATAAAAAAAAACAAAATAAACCTCCAGATGAGTTCATTTCAAGCGTAGTTCTTTATTATTTTGTCTACCAGTAACTCTAGAACGGGTAAGGCGATTGTTTAATCGTCATTATTTTATTTGCTTATTTTTAATAATAGATTCATCATGTTTTGTAGCAATGTGAGGGATTAGGGTTAGCCTAAACAAATAAAGAAATCAAGCAAAATATAAATAAACTATTGTTGAAATTAAACAAATATTAAAATAATGTAAAACCGGTAGATGGGTCAATATTAGATGCATATTTCTAGTAGTTAAGTGCTATCATCAAAAAAAAATTTGGGGGGACTTATCAAGCCTATTATGATATTCTAAAAGTTGAAAAATAACATGATGAATGTAATGTTATAAAGATTAAGGTTTATTAATTGTAAGGTAATTAAAAAATAAGATTAAAAAAGGAAGGGGGGGAAAGAAGGTATAAATTATTATATTATAAAAATTAAATTAAAGGAATTGATAAGGTTTTGAGAAATAGTGGTTAATAGATAATAGAGATAGAAAGAAAAGAATGAAAAATTTAGTGATAAATAAATTCATTAAGGGAGGAGAAAAAAAATAAAGAAAGAGTTATTTTTAAGGATTGGAGATTATAAATAGGTTAGGATAGGAAAATTTAAATATTTGAATATACTTGGTTATCTTCTTAATTATTGGTTATGAAAGAAAAATGTGAGTATAAAAAATTGTAGTATAAGTACTGACAAAAATTGTGAGTATGTTCAAAATAAATATACAAGTTGAGTATCTTGTAAAGATTTTATTAATGTGTAATTGATAATATGAGATGAAAATTGATAAGGTAATCTAAAAAATAAAGAAAGGATTAAGTGAAATAAAAAGTTTCATTCATATTTACAAAGTTGAGGGAATATTGTTTTTATCAATTCAAAGACAATTTTTTGAATCTCTCAATCCATGTTAGGTATGTGTATACCATCAATTCTCGAAATTCCAATTCATCTGTTTGTATAAAATAAAATAATAATATCACAAATAAAAAAAATAAAAATAAATACGTAGCGATGACATGACGTAGCGATGACATAACGTAGCGATGACATGATGTAGCGATGACATGACGTAGCGTTGACATGACGTCACGATGACGTAGTGATGACATCGGAAAATTATAATATAGATATATTTAAAAAATAGAATTACAATAAAATATGTGTAATTCTTGTGCTGTATTTAAAAAAATCTAATTTAACAATTATAATATAATTAAAACAAATGAGTATATTAATAAAACATAAATAATATTTATTAGAGATCCGCAAGTAGGAAAATTGGGTTCGGGCTGGGTCGGGCCTAATATTTTTAAAAATTCGGGCCTGGTATGTTAAATTTTTTATGTAAAATAGAAATATTTGATTTTATTTATAAAATCTAGACGCCCGCCATATAACATATATCTTTTATTTTGAGTAATTATAAAAATGAATTTTTATATTTAGATAAATTCGGGCCAGGCCGACAAAACTTTTTAAAATAAATTTCAGGTTCGGGCTGGCAAAACATTTTTAAAATAATTTTGGGTCGGGCCGGGCTTGAAAAATTAGACCCGATGCAGATCACTAATTCTTAGTGCAAATGCAATATTTTTATTAAAAATAGTATAATATATAAATATTATGACTAATAATTCATTATAATTACGTTTTGAATATAAAAATTTTATTACTAAGATCATATTAAAATAATATATCAATTTTATAATTTGAATTTATAAAGAGATGTATACTTTTCTCTGAGATTTGACTAATTCATCTAGAATCAAATTTTTATTTAGAATTATCTTCTTATAAATATTTATTATTGCGAATCCATTTAAACGGCTTTCACCGGTGCTATTTCTTAAATAGGTTTTTAACCTTTTCAAAGTTGAAAATAACCTTTCATTAGTGCAGGTACTAATCGGTATGGTAGCTAAAATTAAAGGAATGTTTTGATATTAGGCAGAAAATCTTAAGTGCAATTATATATGGAAAGGGCCTGCAAAGCATATTTTGGTCTCAAAGAGCTATTCAATCAAAATTTTTATACCAAAATTCAACATCACAAAATTTGTTATCATACGATCCTGATAATTCATCAGAATAAAACTCTGAGATTTTCTTAATATCCTCTCGCGTTTCACGTGTATTTAGACTCAACCGGCAAGAAAATAAAAGCTGTTTAAAATAAAATTGTGACTAATAAATCTTTCCTTTAATTGAAATAAAAATGTGTAAATAAAGGGAGTAAAAATATTTACTTTATAAAAATCTTTAATCGTGGATTCATCAATATTTAAGCAATTGGACTATCTAGAAACTACTCTAGTTTTAAAATTTTTAATCCCAAACATATTAGCGATCATCTTTACTTTCTCATTACATTTACCAAATTAAATGATTTATCTTTTATTTAAAAATTATAAAAAATTAATTAAAATTTTTAAAACTATCTAATTAGTTTAACAATATAAATTTTATTATAAAATTTATAAATATCTAATTTAACTATGCGGAAAAAATTTACAATATATTTTTATTGTTATTTAATATTTTACATATAATTTTTAATATATAATTTTAAACCATGATGCCATTAAAATTGAAAATTCTTATTTGTTTTTTAAAATATATTTCATTTTCATATCGTATATAATTTTATTTATAAATTGAAAATATTATAAAATTATTCGCTATAAGAAAAAAATTTTCGAAGATTATGGGGGGGGGGTTTAACTCCAAAACACTCCCCCCCCCCCTCGTCACTGGAATTACTAGAAATTGTGAGTAACATACAATAGAACAAAACTTATTGATATAAAATTTGCAAAGTTTTAATGAAATATTTATTAATTTGACCTTTAAAATTCTATTATAAATGTCTGCCATATTTCCTATTATAAATTTTGATAATATTAGTTAAAATTTTCTATATTTTCTTTTAATAATTTTGTTTTTTATGCAGATATTATGTTAAAAATAAATTTAAATTGATTTTTAAATTAAATATTTATTTTTACATTTCATTAAAATCACTCTATTAGAGTTCACTCAAACAACATTAGGTATCGTTACAATTATACAACTTCCTAATAATCACCATTTTACTAGTAAAAATCCTCTAACAAGTAAAATTATACTCATTATACTTTGTAACATTTGATAAGTAATACAATCAATGTTCGATGATATATCATGTCATCTACATTTTCGCAATCCAATAATGTCACTAACCAGAAAATAGATAAAAAGAGCAAATTTTCACTTTTAAATATTAATACCATATATAAAGGGAAAGGATTTGATTCCCAAAGATCATGTAATTATTTTCTATCATTAAAATATAAATGTCTATAATAGCTAAATCTTATGGAATCCAAAGTATTGGAAAAGTTACTAGTAGTAAAAGATTGCCACCTCCTGCCATATTACCCACTAATAGGGCAGAAATTCAAGGCAATGACAATATAAATATAACAACAGGAACTAGCTGGGTTAATAAGGATACTGAAATGTAAATTACTTATTAAGAATACTAAATTCAATTCATTTAGTAATGAAATTTCAAATAATCCTCATTTTAAGAATGATCTATGTAAACAATCATATGATGTGTTATCAAATGCAGGGTTAAAAACTTGGAATGTAGCTTTAGGAAATTCTCCAGATTTAAGTTCAAGTATTTTATTGTTAATTTAAATATTATATATGTACATTATAGCATCAATAATTCCTATTTCTAATACATATGATTCTGGGCAATATTCAACTGCATTTCAAAAAGAATTTCCATCACTATCAAGTGCTGAAGTTAAAAGTTCAAATTCCATAGTTAATGTAACCTCAGTGAATTCTTCATTACATACTGAGACTTATCAGGCAAACTACTCAAATTTGAGCTATGAAAGATCAAAATCATTTTTAAGAGAAAATGCTAACAAATTTTATATGCAATCCTTAGTACCAATTAACCACCTTAGGCCTCAGAGTAGCATTATTATTCTTTAATATAGTATATTTTTTTAATATATAGCAAATTGGAAGGATATGGCACTTAGGAAATTGCCAGCTAGTAATTTAAATGATGAGCCAATAAGTGAAAATCAGCCATTTTGGACTCGTGATTTTGAAATTTCTAGAAATCCTTATACTTACCTATCTAATGCACCATTACCCTGTAATGAAATTAATATGCCTTTATCTTACCAAATAGGACCTGCTCATGATAATTTGTCTGAAGGACCCAAAAAGGAAAATAAGAAAGTCTATGGGTTAATTGATGGCTCAAATTTTATAAAGAAAGGGACTTCCTTGTTCAATAAAAATCATCATTCCTCAACACCATTTGTACCTCCGTATATGTCAGTTATCAATCCTTATAATCATTATGAAAATAAACTAAATCCAAATTTGCAAGCTCCTTACATTTATCCGGGTGCCTCGATTGCACCACCAATGCTGCTTAAAAATAGAGATTATTATCCAGAGATTGACAGAAGAGAAAGACGTTACAGTTCTTCTTTCCAGCATCCTCCACCCATGATTCAAAATGAACATTTTTATGAGTATGCTAGTAGAGGAGGGCCTATTGATAATGAATATGCCTCACCAGATTATTATTCCAAAAAAACTTTTTTTAATTCACAAACTCTCTCTTCATCTCTAAATAAAGCAAATGTTATTTTAAAAAAGAATTATGGAGGTGATGGTGTAAATTCCTACTATCCTCGCAATAAATTAAAGTATGGATCATATGATGATGAATATTATTACAATTATAACTATCAAAATGAGAGACAAAATCATAATGCCAGAAATCCAATGTCACAAAATCCATATTCACCAACCTACTACCAAAAAAGATCTTCAGCTTTTTTTGATTCCAGACCATCTACCTATTACCCTTATTACAATGAAGATATGGTTCCCAATGGAAATTATAGACGAATAAAATATGCGGAGGATGATTCTTTCATCAAATACCATCAGCAAGCACCAATAGGCAGTGGCATTAATGAAAAAGCTCTCCCCAAATCTCCTGTACCATATAAAATACCTCCACTGATGCCACAACATCATGTCCCATCAGTTTTTATCAAGCAGAATTCTTACAACACAAGGTTTTATATTCTTTTTTATGTGTTTTGAAGTCATTCATTTTACAGGGTTAACTCCACATTAAGTGATGATGATGCTCATCAAAATCAAGTTAATCAAAGGCATAAAGTACTTGACCAAGAAGCAGAAGAAGCGAATATGAATAGACCAGCTTCATATGACTCTTATAAACATTACTCAACAGAGGAGAGACATTTCCCATTGCAATCACACTATAATACACATGAAGTATGTATACTATGATATATATTCATTGACAAAAATAACTTTTCTAATCAAAATTAGTAAATTAAACAAAAATAATTAATATTTATATCAAAAAAGATGTATCACCAAACCTCCATGCATCCGTTTCCACCATATGATGCACCATCCTACCCTGTACTAAATAATTGTTTAATTTTCAGAATTATTTATTTTATACTTAGGAATATGAACAAACATTTAATAATTTGAATGACAAAAAGTACAAAAATCAACATTATTCATATAGAGGAAATGCAAAATTCAGTGAAAATTCTAAAAACATTATTCAAGAGTGCGAGGAATTTGGTGACCACTTGAAAAGGAATGATTTAAATCAGGTATAATAAATGAATAGTAGTTGACATTTTTGCTTATATTACTTATTAATAACCTATCAGATTTTGTCTAATAAACCTTTAGCTGAAGATGGTTTACAGGATAAAGAAGAAAAAGAGGGTGATATGGATGCATGGTCAGATAGCCCCTCACCCCATTCTAACTCTAAATTTCAATATTTGAGTAATACCACCACTAGCAAGGATATTGTTGATCACACTAAACAACCTTACACCTCTTCCAGTGTAAATAAAAAGGTATATAATTAAAGCTGTCTCCTTAATTATTTTAATCAATTATATATCATTTTTTAAACTGGAATTTATTTTTAGGTATCAGGGCTTGACACAAATATTCAAGATGGGCAACAGCAAAAGAGTTTCAAAATTAATACCACAAATAAATATCAAACAGGTAACAATATCCATTATATCTTGTAAGTACTGTTGTTAAATATCACTTCTGAGAAGTAACAAGTTACCTTTTAAAAAGTAGCTAAAGTTAATTGTCAAAATACTAACTAACATTTCAAGTTATTTTATAAAGTATTTAATTAACCCATCATTTATTATACAAAGTTTTGTGATTTGAAAATTTTATGCAAATTAATTTAAATGAAAATACAATTTTCATAAGAATTGCACATGAAAAGTATACCACATTATTTTTTTCACCAGAGATTTGCAAGGCATCATCTATTTTGTCCATTAAGATTTTTCAGCAAATTGTCTGGCCTGTTATTTAAATCTATTATTCAGGCTCCATAATTTTTTTATTAATTTTCTGGCCTGGCCTTTTATGAAAGTCAAGCAAGCCCATTAAAATTTTACAAAAGTCAGGCCTGGCTAGTAAGCAGAAAATAATTCCCCGTAAAAATATCCATTATAATTCTCTGGAATTGATTTTCTCAAAATTTTTAAATATATTATTTCAAGATTTTTATTCCATGGATATATATATATATATATACAAATTATTTCCCCTATTTTTATAATTTTTAATATATTAAAAAACTGGAATTTTTTTCCTGGGAATTATTTTCATAGATTTGACCTGGCCTATTAAAATTATACAAAAAGTCTTTTTCCAATCATATTTTTTATGTATATCTAATTTTTTCCTAAAATCCATTAATTTTTATAACAATTTTATAATTAATTGTGTTTTGATATCTGTATTTGGAATTGGATAACATCATAATAACTTTAATTTTTTATGAATTTATTTTAATTATATTTAAATTATGCAGCTCTTAAAATACAAAAAATATTAGCATATTGTAATTTATTTTCAAATAGTATTAGTCAAAATCAATATATTTGCTAAAATATTTTGCCAAAGAGTATTTGATCTGGTTAAATATGGTCAAATACTCTAAAAAAAAATCTGATAAAAAAATAAAAAATATGTTAGAAAAAAGAAAAATCTATATGAAAATATATGATCACAATCCTGTGGGTCCCCAATATCAAGGTGATCTTACTAGTAGTGAATTTAATGAAGTATGTGATATATTACAAGAATTAGGCATTGTATAATGTGGTGGTGAAAAAATATTTCAAGTGATATCATAAATTTTAGGAGTAAAAGTGACATGTTTAATAGTAAATTATGTGAACAGTAGCTTCCACAAGAAACTCATCAACCTCAAGTTATTAGAATGGGTTTAGACCACCATGCCATTAAGAGAAATTATTTTACTATCAATTCCTAGTTCTACTTCTTCAGAAAAAATTGGTTGATTTGGGGTAATAATCTAATAAAACAAATCAATTGAAGATCTTGACAACAGGAAAATTTATGAAAAAATAATAATATTGAATATGAATCAGAACAAGACTTATCCTGCGGAGAACTAAACATTAGTTATTGTATGAGAATGAATTTAAAAAAATAGTCTTTTGTTAATTTGCTTAATTTATGACCTTTTGTGCTCATGCTCTGAGCATGAACCCTGAGTAAATATCTGGGGTTTAGACTTGGGGAATAGAATTTATTTATTTTCTTTCTAAACATGAAAAAAGTTTTATGATTATTTGGATTTGACATGTCTCCTATATAATTATAATAACAATTAATGATTTATTATTTAGAAATAAGTTGCTAAAATTTGGGAAATAAAATATGTAAATATGTTATTTTAAATTAAAAGTATGAATTTCAGAAAAACTAATTTGAATGGGTTAAACAAATAGTAACTCACAAAAGAATAAATTGTGATAATTTAAAAGAATAAAAATTTTTAATGCATATAAGATACTAAGAATTCCTGAAGAGGAAATATTTGTTTTGACTTTTAAGAAAACGGGGTATGTATGATCAATTGCAGGAGAAATTTAGTGAAAATTTTTATTTTGTGGGAGAATTATGAAAATTGAGTTTGAGAAAAATGGCTTAATTAGCCCCCACCCTTCCATATTATACCAATTTGTCCAATGTTTTTAGACCTTATATTTTGGAGAATCATAAAAAATAGAGATCATAATCTCCTCAAACAAGATATCAATATCTAGCGGTATTTTTAATATATTTAAAAGCGAGAAAAAAATAAAGAAATATAAAGAATGAAAATAATTATTTTTTATATGCCCAGATGATTTTTTAAAAATTTATATTTATATATTTTTTCTTTTCTACCTGCATTGATGAAAGAAATAAATATTATTTACTTTATATTTTACTTTTTCTTCCTTATTATTTTGTTTCATATTTTTTTAAAAAAATTGCAAAATTATTGAAAGAAAATAGAAAATAAATTTTTTATTTTGTATATTCCATTTTAATAATTAAACTTTTATATATAACATAAATAAAACAATTTTTCTTTGTATATTATAATAACCATAAATAATAAAAAAAAACAAATCGCTTATTTTTTTAGGTTATATTTTTTTTCTATTTTATTCTTTCATTATTTGTATTATAAAACTTTTATTTCATGTCATGAATAGCCGGGAAATCCAAATTAAAATATTTTTCAATAACTATTTAGTCGATTAACATTACTACCCATATTTATAAATTGTGATGATAAAAATATTACAGCCCTCAAAGACCTAGACCCGTCCAATTAGAATAATATTCATGATTATAATTGAAATATAATTAAATTAATTTTTAATAAAGCTCATATCAATATTTTGCATTGTTTAAAATATTCCTGACCCCTCAATACCCAGAACTGCCCACTTAGAATGATAATTATGATTACAATCAAGATATAATCAAAATACCTTTTATTTGATACATTAGCTCATGTTCATACTTTTCTAAGTTCAGAAAAAAACAACTATAAATTGGTTTTTACTCTGAGTATGACTGAACCCCAGGTCTTCTTGCTCAGAGCTGGTTTAGTCGATTTCTAAACCCAAACCCCAGGTCTGGTGTTTACACAACCAACCTATTAACAACACTAACCCTGATATAAATATTTTAATATGACTTGCTATTAAAAATCAATTTAAATAAAATTGTGATACAAATCACCTCGATTTTTTTAACAACATGGTGATTTAATTAACATTACTATTTTATAAATACTTGATTAATTTTAAATTTTTATTTTTTGTTAATAATAAATTAGGACCTGGTTATTCTAATTTTTTTTAAATAAAATTTGGGTCAGGTCAAGCCGAAATTTCTAAATATGATATTCCATTATAGATATATATTTTAAAATTCTTGAAAAAAACAAGGCACTGAATAATATTTTTTACAATTAAAAAAATTAAAATTTCTATATTTAAATAAATTTGGGTAAAGCTGTGGTTTGACAAATATTTTTTTATTTCTAGTTGGGTTTTTTGGGAAAAATAAAAAATTTATTTGAAACTGGGCCAGGCTGGAAAAATTTATTTTAAAAATTTTGGGCTATACTTGAAAATTAGGCCTGACTGCACATCAAAAGAAAAAGAATAGAATTCTATTTACAATGTTATTTCTTCAATCATCCTGGTAGTCACAGAGAAAATCCTACCTTGGCACTGCTTGCTGGTATACATAAAATCATTTATGTTAAGTGGATATATATAATAGAGATCTGCAAAAGTAGGGTCGACCCGTTCCTGGCCTGAATGGGCTTTGGACTGGGCCAGGCCTTATATTTTTTAAGAAAATTTGGTCATGGCCAGGTCGGGCCTTAGAAATTTTTTAAAATATCAATTTATGTTGAACATTTTATGTAAAATGAAATATGTGATTTTATTTATAGAAAGTAGACGCCATATAACATATATCGTTTATTTTGAGTAGTTATAAAAATTAATTTCTATATTTAAATAAATTTGGGCCAAGCCGGCAATATTTTTTTTTAAAAATTCGGGTTCGGGCCTGACCTAGCAAAACTTTATAAAAAAAATTTCGGGCCAGGCTGGGCTTAAAAAATTAGGCGTGATGCAAATCTCTAATATATAATATTGATTTGAAATATTATTTCCAACTTAATAGGATTTATACTAGTTTTCCTTTTTTTAACCTCATCTCAAGAACATTCTCCCAAAATAGGAGTATATAGGCCTCCACTCTGATTTCAATAGCCCGTTATTTCATCCTCCCTACTTTTTTTTGACTATGCAAAATTTATTAACATTTAAAATACTATTTGCTCAATTTTGATTGAGTTTGTAGGTTTTACCTCTATTATTTATCCCACGCATGATAGAGAGTCCATTTTATTAATTATTTTTTATTTCCTTGTGAATTAATCTTTTCTTATATTGATAACATCTTCATTTTTTTGAAACTTGAATTCAATAGAGTAGCAATCATGAAATATGAATGCATTTTTCATCTTGAATAATTAACTTTTTTTATTAGTAAATTCTAACCTATTAATTATTGATTATAATTCAAAAATTATGTTGGAAATTCATCTGCAGTTAATTTAATAGTTTTATTTTCTATAAATAAACATAAGGTGAAGTTGATTTTAATTTTAAATCATGCTCAAATTGCTCACTCACTTCCTTAGGATCAATTTCATCAAATTGTTTTATCAATTTTATAATAATTCTACCAAATTAATTTAGAATTTCACCTGACCTTGACCTCTTGATGTAATGTGTTAGTCAATTTTTTTATTAAGGTCACTGTTTATAATATTGGACTACATTCATAATGTCAGGAGCTTCCTCTATTAAGTTTCTCATTAAAGCTTTTGCATATCAGTATTTATTTGATGAACATGAACTATTAATATCCTTATATTTATCAAATGCCTTTATTATATTAGCACCTTGATCCATTTCAAATAAAAGATTTGCAAAGTCATCTTGTATATCTATATGATACAAATCTCTTGAGCAATTCACTTAATATTTTTGCATGTTTTTATCCTTTGAATATATAAATAAAATTCGTTTTTTAAAAATCCAATTATCAATATAATGTAAAGACAATATAATTTATAAGAATTT